AGGTGATGGTTAGCATTTTTTTTTAGCAATAAAGTATTTAATTAAGGTATGTACATTGTTTTTTTTAGACATAATGCTATTGCACACTTAATAGACTACAGTATAGTGTAGACATAACTTTTATATGCACTGGGAAACCAAAAAATTCGTGAGACTTGCTTTATTGCGATATTCACTTTATTGCGGTGGTCTGGAACCGAACCCGCAATATCTCCGAGGTATGCCTGTACTTATCCCATCTCTTATACCCACCAGTACAAACTGGTTCATGAACTGATTTTTAAGTCCACTAAATAAGCCTTGGCTGCTCAATAGTTAAAGAAGTTTTAGGTAACTTTTTTTCTTTTTTTATTAAGTACAAATTGGTGTACCATCTACTGCATGGTGCAATGCACTGCTGTCAAAAACAAATGGATCCCATCAGGTCTGCAGTGCATTAGTTTTATTCCAGCAGTTTTTGGCATAGTACCTTAAAAGAAAAGCTGGAAGAATTCCAAGCACTTCTATAGTTTCAAAATAATAATAAAAAGGCACCCCTCTGGCTCTCTTGAGACCTTTTGAGCTACTTAATACAGTACATGGACTCTAAAAACAGCCCACATCCAAAAGTCACAGAAATGTTGTATACTTAATAGTAATATCCCTCTCCCTCCAAAGTTCTCAGTACATTTCTTGTAGAATTTCCCCCCTTAATAAAATGTACATCTGGCTTGCATCAAACTATCAGATATTCAGGCAGTACTTACACATCCATGTGATGGCCAGCGCTCTGCAGCCCATCCCCCATCTCCCTCTCTATTGCACTCCATTCACTTGAGAAAAAACAAATCAAATGAGAAACATCACACATGAAGGGTAAGGGAAGTGAATAAGCTGCATCCTGTATATAGTTTCTTTCCAGGTGACATGAGTGGAAATTGCCTCAAAGTTATACTCTGCGAAGCTGTTGTCGTCTTCTATGCAGCATCACTGAACACAGTGTAATAGTGAAGCCATCTAAGCCATCTTCCTCTCCTTCCCCCCCAGAGCAGCCACCAGAACTGGGGTAAAGATGGCAATTGCTTAGAAGTCCACAACAGCTTTACACAAATTTGTGTTTATTATTAACAAAAACCAACTTATTCCTGCTGTATGAGAGGAGCTGGCTTATTTTTGCTTATCCTTGTGCAATTTGTGTCTAATATTTTCCTGCTCTTTCACATTTAAAAAAAAAAATCTACTTCGTTAATTTTGACATTTGTTTATCCTCGTGTTATTGCAAAGCTACACCTAATTTAGGTTTTAAACCCCCAACCAGAAGAGACATCTGCAACCCATTAACCTACTGAATTAAATTTAGCGCTTGAACTGAGTGTATAAAGCAGGAGGTTCCCCTTAACCAGAAGTTGGATTCTTTAATTCTCCAGCGAGATGGAGAACTTGAACAGGCAATTCAATCCAAAAAAACCCCCAACTAACCAGCCCAAAAACCCAAAAGGTGAAAGTCTTAAAAAAAAAAAAAAAAAAGTGTTTAAATAGAATAGTGTACATTGTTGATTTTTAAAGCATTAAAAGAAAGAGACCTGGATGCTTTGTCACAACCACAGGTACAATGTAACAGGTTTACTGACAGTTTAAAAAAGGGTAATTGGGTGGTATTCTAAAAGGAGCACAGTTAAAAGCCGAACCCAAGAGAAACAAATTCTGAAGTAAAGCATCTTGTTGAGACTGAAAAAATTTAGCAACTATTAGAGAGGTGTCAGTTAAAAGAAACTCTAAAATTTACTTTTGGTATAAAACAGAGATCAGAAATTGGCATTTTTCAAAATGAAACTTTAAGTAGTGTATATAAAACTTACTTATAAGCTCTACTTTTAACATCCATTTAAGTCTTACCTGAACACTCTCCCATAATTCCCATGAACTTTGTACACACCATATAGACGGTCTGCCACTCTCTAAAACATTTTATAAAAGAAAAGTTAATTATGGTATAAGCCTATTTCTTTTAGATGGCATTTACTAATCACATGCAAGAGGATGCATCTCCCAATAAAAAAAAAAACAACACAACACTTCCAAAACAATAATCCAGGCCTAGAGCTGCAATATTTCAAGTGACATACAAAGATGAAAATATTCCTTTAAAAAGTTTAGCACAGTTCCTTGGTCTTAAGTGATAAAAGAACAACACCACAAAATTGTGTGGGTAGGGGTTATTTTTAATAGCAAACTATACTGCGAACTGCTTTTAAAGTATTGACAAGTGAACAAAATTATGCAGACTGAAGAGGATGGAGGTGACTTAACAGATAGCTGAGATGTGGTAACTGTTTCACGCATCTGCTCTGCCATGCAGAGAGCGAAAGCTAATTCACACCAGTTTCGCAGTAGTTTCATTCAGGAGTCAAACTGCCCCTGTTAAACTTCCACTTCCCATGGGAAACAAAGACATGAAACCAGTTATTGCAAAGTATCTGGTACACACTAAAGTCCCCCTTAATTACCTCAGTGTAATTTGTTAATCTGTCCACAGTCCTTTGTGTTATGTGCAGAAGCAGAGGTGTAGCAAGCTCTTTCAGTGCCTGGGGTGGGACAGGGAGGGGTATGCCAACCGCTGGATGAGGGAGGAGAGGAAGGGAAGTCTTACCTGCCCAAGCCCTCCCCACAGCAAAGGCAGCTCCTGCAGTAGTAACACTGGCTTGGGCAGCTGCATTCCCATGGTACGGGGAGCCAGCCCTGGAGTGCCATTCACTCCCACTCTCCCCCCAAGATATGCTAGCAGGTACAGCCATGTGCCCAGTGTGGCATTCTGCTTGCCCAACTCACCCCCACACTGTCCCCCAGATATACTGCTGGACGCAGAGCTGCACCTACCCAGCGCCTATGTCCAGACAGCACATATTTCCAAGGGAAGGGGAGGGAGGGGAGGAAAAAGGAGGAATGCAGATTCCAGTGACCCTTCATAGTCAGTGCCAAGGGCTGGTGCCCCATTCATCTGCACCCTCCCCAGTTGCATTAAAAACTTTCTAAAGGAGGTCTCCACCAGCCCCTCTTATTTAGATGATCAACACTGGAATCAAATCTGAAGGGCAACTCACTTCACCTATCAAATGCCTAAGCAGTTAGACATGATGTAGGTGAAGCGCATAAAAGCGTACATGAAAACAAGGCCAGGCCTTCACTTCAGAGTTGTGGCAAGCCTCCTCCTACTCTCATTCTGCCTGGCTACCCCCCTATGCGGTCCGAGGTGGGACTTTGAAACTAACAAAACCCAAGTTTCCGTTATAAAAAATTGAAACCTTCCAGGCTTTTCCACATAGTGCAGACAGCGCCATTTCTTTGGCATTTGTACATTTCCCATTTTTCACTGTAACAATAAAAAAAGCCCATCACAGCGCTTGCTGACAAAACCAGAAATCAGTTCACAAGGTGAAGAGTCAGAAACTGTCACCAGTATTGCAGCACAGGCTATAGAGGAGTTGCTATTTTCCTTTTCTAAACTGAATTCAGAAGCAGGAGCTGTCATTGTCTTTTATACTTATCCAAGCACCACTGATGTACCCAAGAATTAAGACAGAAATGTATAAGAATCACAATTACGTACATGTCAGAGACAAAAAGGAAATAAAGTTAACAAACTGCTGCCTAACTCATACACGTGGTACATGCAGGAAGGCACTGTTACTGGAATGCCAGCAATTAATCCTCCAACATGCCTCAGCTTGACAGGGCAATCAATTACCATCCACTTTTGAAGCAGTTTCACTCCCCCCCCCCCCCCAAAAAAAAAAACCCCCC